TTATTTAGACCATTCGCGTTGAGAGAGTAGCCCCGTAAGGCCCACTGCACCTCAGAGATGAGTGGGAACTGGGGTGGTCACATTAGTGGCCTGCTCTCGTAGACTGTTAAATGTCTCGCGAAGGTCAGTGGGAAGAGGCCCGGCCAAAATGCGCGCCATTAAGGGCGACGTGATGATGGCAGCCAAAGTCGAATCATCCCAGAGTAGCCACATTGGGTGTGGCAGTGCCGAGACTGCCCTCCCAAGGACGGCACTTAATTTAAGTGGGTCCAAATAAATACTAGGTGCAATAATTTGCAGAGCTAGATCAGCCTCGGCCAGTCGTAACTTAAGCCAGTATTGGGACTGTTCCGGACACAGTTGCCCTAATACGGTCTGAAAGTCATAGTCGGACTGGTTGGGGTATAGAGTGGAGACCCGGTCAAACATTTTACCATCGTCAGTTGACGGGTAGGTACGTGTACTCAGTTCCCGGAGTACGGCGTGCCCAAAAGCCTTGGTGCGGAGGTGGTGAAAATTTCCCTCCGTGCTTGAATCAAGCAAGACCCGGTGAAAACTGGGTTGAGCTTGAACCGTCGACAACAAAATGTCTGGATCATTGATTTGGGTAAAAGTGCCCAAAAAGTCTTCGATGACTTTGCAGAGCTCTTTAAGGGAAAGTTGCTCAACATTGCCTCGATAGACGGCCCCATTAAGAACAGCTTCACTTACTTCAGTGAGTGCCACAAATGAAGCCACAGACTGCGGCGGCTCGATTGACTTGTCCCACAGTAGGACATTTTGGTCTGGCGGAATGGGTCCGTTCAAACCTTCACTCAACCACTCATAAGAGTTGATTGAGGAAATTGGGGGATATTCCTTTTGGGAAGGAGGAAGGCGTCGCAGATCTACCGCTGGATCCGCGGTGGCACTAAACACCATTCGCTTTGCCTTGATAATCCGAGCCGGTGAAAAATCGGTGGCTTGAATGGAGCCGACCGGAAATTTGGGTACTTTCCCATGAGGCCAAACCGATTTGGGTCGGGCCACAATTGCGGCCTCAATACCGTCCATCGTGGTACGTCGATCGGTGTCCGGTTCAGAATGATCCCCACTATGTGGCTCACTTTCTGTCTCAGAGTCGTCGGCCATGGCGGAACGGTCACTGGTGTCGCTTTGGTCGTCAAAAGCAGGCGGGATACTGGCTGTATCGTCCGCGTTTAAGCTGGATCGGGCTGGCTTGGACTGTCGAGTTGGTTTAGCTTTTTCACGTAATTCCTTGATAAAGGGTGGAATGACGCTGTTAAACGCTCGGTTTCGGTGATGAACCACCGAGTAGCCTTGCCCAGTAAACCGAATCTGGCGAAGCGGAGTACGCTTATCCAGCATAACCGAAGCCGGGGGTGTTTTCTGGTTAAAGTAAACTCGACGGCTTCGGGATCGAAGCCCACCTACGACGTGAGCCGGTGTGATGTACACCGGTGGTGTGCCTTTTTGGGCAAACCAGTCGTAAATGAGTCCATCAGAAACTTCATCGGGAAGTCGTTGAAGATCCACAAAGTACCAGTGGGAGTATTTTGAGTACGTCTGGACTTTGAATTTGCGCCCACAAATGGTCACGAATTCGCCCCCCAATTTAGTACAAACCTCCCGGTCGGTACAAACAAAGCTGATACCGGCGTGGCGAATAGCCTTGAAGTCGCGCAAGTGTTCTAGACTCTTCGACCACAAAGGTGATTGGGTTGACGAGCCGAGAGAAGTCATAATTTCCGTATCGGAAAACGTGGCTGTAAGCTCACGGGCTGGGATCCACATCGGGAGACACAACTCGGGCGAAACTTGTTGTGGAACACCGGCGAGAGCGGCACACCGCTTGTCACGGGCGTCGCGGGCAGGATCAAGCAAGGCAGCCTCGGCCTTTTCGAAGACAGCGTCCGTAGGCCGAGACAGTTCGGCTCGCGGTGCCGTGTTCTGCCAGGTTTGGCGCCACTTTTTGTCTCGTTGAGGTCCAGACATGACCCTTAAAGAGACGAAAAATGGGTCGGGAAGTTAGAATTTACCCAAAAATTTAGGCTCAAAGCTTAGTCAAAACGGTGGAAAAGCGGATGCTGCGTCTCTAGTGTTTAATAACACCTAAGCAAACACCGGTCAATTGGTACCTCGATACCCGGACCAAATGTAAGTGCAGCCTACACTGTATGCTCTTTTCCACTCCACGTAGAATTGAGCTTTTCGTTGACTCACGTCAGTACGGCCTAGCGTCCTGATGAGTGAATCGCACTACAATGTAGTTGGAACAAATCCAGTCAATACCTTTCGGGAAAGACTTAGCGCACTTAGTTCTTTGTCTGTCAGCAGGGATGAGCCTACAGTAATCTGTAGACGCCTAACTGTCTGATTGACTCAAACTTCGGAAGCTAGGAGCGGGTGCTCGGCACGACCCGGGTTAACGGGGGGGGGCGGAGCGGTGGCTTTTTGTCGGCTTGAAAGTGGGAGAGCGGGCTTGGGCTCGTCTCTGTCCACTTGTGGGGTAGCTGGCAAATTGCGGAATGCTTAACTTCACAGAGCAGACGGGATATGGTGTTTTCAGCCTAAGATGGCCGTCTA